TTTTTTATTTTTTTTTATATGAAAAAAAGAAAAATAAAATGCTAAGTATGGGAGCGTTTTCTACTAGCTTTTTTATTGGCTTCTTAGATTCTCAATTAAATATTTATTGACTCAATTATACGGTTGTGTTGTTAAACTTTTTTCTTCAACGTTTTATTGCTTTATTCCTACAACTTTTTGTTTCATAGTTAACTTTGAACTTTTTGTTCAGAACATCAAGTTAATACTTAATATAATTTACATTTGCTCCTTCAATATTTAATTAGTTATTTTTATGTTCATGTTTTATAAATACGAAAACTTAATTAAAATTACTTAATCATATCATTTTTTTAATAATCATTTATATAAATTATTTTATCAAATTAGTAATGTTCCATATAATTTTTCAAAATCAATCCGCTAATTATACCAAACAACATTTTGCAAAACCGCCAAAGCTACCCATTGGTCAAAACACCCGTGGGGATCAGACACTCGGATATTACCTTGTGGGGGTCTTTTAGTTCAGTAGTTTTGTGTTATTGTTCGCGTCAGTGAGTATTACCCCGTTGGGGTCGGCTCTAGGAGATCTTTTGACTGTCTCCACTTTATTCAGCTATTGGTTGTTGGTATTCAGCTGTGAACTGTATGTATTCAACTGTTGGCTGTACTTTTGTAAATTTCTTTGGTTTATATATAATATCTCTATCGTTCGAAAAAAAAACCATTGGTCAAAACAACTAACACAATCCTCTGGTCAAAACAGCTAGCACAATCCGCTAGCAGCTAACCGCTAACAGTTGATTACCAAACAAGCTCGAAGTATTAAAATGTATTTAGAAATCCCAAACGAATACAACCCCTTAATCTAGTGTATTCAATACTTTGTAAGACTTTTAAAAAACGGAGGTATTTATTTGAGATTTTAAAATGTCTTACACAATCGTGAGATATTTAGCTATTTGAGACTAGAATTTGTTAAAACTTTTAAAATTTACTGATATTTCAAAACGAAAAAATCATATATCAAATCTTAGTCCAAATCCCACCTGCCGATTCTAAAGTTTGAAAAAATATTTACAAATGCAAAAAATATACCCATCTAATACAAGTTTTTATTTTGACATTTGTTGAAAGAAAAAAAAAAAAGACACAACGTTACCACAACCCATCTATGAACATAAATAAAACTCATAAAATACACCCTTAATATAAGTTTTTTTTTTTTCCCTGTCTGATATTGCTGTTGAAAAGCCTGCGGCCCGCTCCCCAGCGGCCCCTAATATGGTAATTGAATTCATATAATATTATCAATATAATTAATTAATAACATCAATCATTTTTATATATCACATCAATTTTAATTCATTAATACGTACATAATTTTAACTACTTATAATTTCAAATAAATTTTCTCATACTTTTTATATAAATCAAAATTAACTATTGTTAATAAAACAAAAACTCATTTTGAGTGTATATTTTTATCTAGATTGGCCGACAAACCCAAAAAATGCACACCTCTAGACCAAGTTTTGATTTTGAGTCTTTTGACATCGGTGTTGAAAATAAAAAAGACACACCCAAGAGCGCTTGGATGAGATAGCTTGGGTCTCTTCCAGCTTAACCAGTGGTCTCGTGTTCGAGCCCTGGGAATGCAGCAGTGTTAAAACTCTTGAGGGAGAGCTTTGCCGCCCTTGTGGTCCTACCCGGCTTGATTCCGGATTAGTCGATTTCACTGTAGATCCGGAAACCGGAAGGTCCGTGTACCAAAA